GCCGCCTTTGCAGGTGGCATCGCAGGCGCGCGCAAGGCACAAATGATGAAGCCAGTTGCTTATCTGAACCGGGTGGGGCTCCAGCGCTTGGAGGGAATATGGCCCCAAGCAGGTTGTTTTCCCTCCCCACACCTCAATCTCCTCATCTGGAAAATGGGATGATGATAGCGCCTAGTTCCTCAAGCCGCTGTGGGAATGGGATGAGCACTTACGACGAGGCTGGCTCATAGTAAGTGAAGCGTAAATGTGGCTTTTTAAAATCTAACCCTTTCGGAGGACAGTTGGGCAATATGTATCTAAAGCCATTAAAATGTCATAATTTTTGACCCAGTTATTTCACCCCTGAAAATTTATCTCAAGGAATTAATTTAAGAAGAGAAAAGAATTTTAACAATGTACAAAGGTTTTGAAACATTTTATTTACACAGCAAATAACAAGAAACAACCTAAAAGACCACCGACAGGTGATGGTTAAATATGAGCCGTACCAATACGACAGAGGGTTCTGCTGTGGTTAAGATGATCAACGCCAGCTATAAATGCACGGTGAAGTGTTTAGGGAGTATAGGCGATGAAAACAGTGAGCACAGAATTGTATATGTGTTTGGATAACTTTATAAGCAACTGGCACATAAATGGCCTGGCTTTCTGTGTTTGGGGATGACATGACTTCTTAAGATTTACTTCTAGGTATTTTAAAGGAGCTTGAATACTAAACAAAATTTATATTTAAATTAGGCGTTGAACATTTATGAAGCCATCTTCCCTCTCAAGGGCTCTGTCCTCAGTCCCCTGTGTGACTGCCAAGGCCCCCCCCCGCCCCCCCCGCCCCCATCTCGCATGCAAACGTGCCTACTTTCTATGCAATGCACTGACTTCCAACACACTGTCTGTGATACTGCAGCTTCTTAAGGACAGGTACCCTGCGGCCAGCCCAGTGATGCAGTGGTTAAGTTTGTGCACTCCACTCGACAGCCCAGTGTTTGCAGGTTCAGATCCCAGGCACAGACCTAGCACTGCTCGTCAAGCCACACTGTGGAGGCATCCCACATAAAACAGAGGAAGATTGGCACAGATGTTAGCTCAGTGACCATCTTCCTCAAGCAAAAAGAGGAAGATTGGCAACAGATGTTAGCTCAGGGCCAATCTTACTCACAAAAAAAAAAAAAAAAAGGACAGGTACCCTGCACCTCAGTACCCGGTGGCACCGTGTTTGGCACATGGTAGGTATTTAAGAAATGTTGGTTGAAATATATATATGTGTGTGTGTACATATAAATGCATATATTGTGTGCATAACATATATGGTACTTGAATTTTTTTCTCCCCTCTTGTCAGGGTCCTCAGTAGAGACAAAATGGGAGCAGGTAGAGATTACCCTCACTGCCATCAACAATTCAGGGCAGCAAATACTTTGCTTTGGTTTTTGTTTTTAAGTCTCCAAGGCTCTTCCACATGCTAATCAAGTGTTTTAAGGACAAAACCTCTTCCATTTAATAAGTGTATGCTGGCCTATCCTGAGAATACTGGCTTTATGGGGACACATTTTTTTTAAGGAAGATTAGCCCTGAGCTAACATCTGCTACCGATCCTCCTCTTTTTTTTTTTTTTTTTTTTTTTTTGAGGAAGACTGGTCCTGAGCTAACATCTGTCTCCATCTTCCTCTACTTTATATGTGGGACGCCTGCCACAGCATGGCTTGCCAAGTGGTGCCATGTCCACACCCGGGATCCGAACTGGCTAACCCTGGGCTGCCGAAGCAGTATGGGGACAAATTTTTAATGTACATCAGACAATTAAGGGACAGCACCAGACAATACGTAATCAAGTGCCAAATTGCAGACAAAAAGAAAAATATTTGCTATATGGTCATATTAAAAACCACAGAGAAATATGTATTCCTTCTCAACATATAATATACTCTTATTTCTAAGGAATTTTAAGGGCCTCTTAAACTCTCAATCCAAATGATTATGGTGAGATGGAAAGAACATTAACTGATAATTAGCAAATTTATATTCTAAATTTGGGTTTTCTACATGTATGGTTTTGAACAAGTCCCTCTCTCTCTGTTGGCCTGTAAAATTAGGGGGTTGAACTGGATGATCTCAAAGGTCCCTCCCAGCTCCTACCAGTCTACAACTCACGAAGCCTAGGGGTCTGACCCCTAAAACTCTGCTTGAACCCGTGAGTGCGTCTGCCCCACCTTGTGTGAGAGAGCCGAGGGCCCAGGGGCAGGGGTGGCTGGTGAGCTGACTTCGCTGTGTTTTGTCGTGGGTCCCACTGCTCCTAGAAGATGGCTGAGTGTCCACTCCATGCTCCTCCCAAGTGAGGGTGACGGCCACAGGTGGCCAAAGGGTGTGCCGTCTAGAGTTGATGGCTGCACCTGATTGTAGCAGAGGAACTGACATCCTGCAGTCTGGTGTCACCTGAGACCTGTTGATCCTCTGCTGAACACTCCATGATTTGCAAAGGGGGTTTGAAATGGGAGCGTTCTCTTAAAATGTTTTTTTTTTTAAAGATTGGCACCTGAGCTAACATCTGTTGCCAGTCTTTTTTTCTTCTTCTTCTTCTTCTCCCCAAAGCCCCCCAGCACATAGCTGTATATTCCAGTTGTAGGTCTTTCTGGTTGAGCTATGTGGGACACCGCCTCAGCATGACCTGATGAGCGGTGCCACGTCTGCACCAAGGATCCCAACCGGCAAAACTCCGGGGCTGCGGAAGCGGAGCGCGCGAACTTAACCACTCGGCCACGGGCTGCCCCCTCTCCTAAAATCTTTTTATCCTGCAACCCCCTTCCTCCCCTCAGAAGATTCCAAGATGCCTCAAACCAAGCCCACTATGGGTTCTGCCCCTGGAGCCTAGTCAGGGCTCTGAGCTCTTCTGATCGCTGGTATGGACTCTGGCCACCAGAGGGTACTCTTGCAATGTGGAAAACCTACAGTTCATGTTGCTGGAGCCTGAGTCCCATCTTTGCCAGAACATCTGGACTTGCTGAAGCCATTCTCCACTTTAAGTGATTCCCAACCAGGGACAATGTCTGGTGGGGGAGGATGTTACTGGTATCTAGAGGCCAGCGACGTACTAAACGTCCTGAAGTGCACAGGACAGCTCCTGACAACAAAATTTCTACAGCCCAAAATGTCAATAGTGCCCAAGTTGAGAAACTGCTCTACTCGGTTCTGTTGTCTAAAGCAGAGCGCACCTCCCAGAAGTTTATGTCCTCCGGAGCTGAGCTTCCAGTCTCCTGGCTTCACCCACTCCCAAGGGAAATTTTAGAATAGTCACCGCATAGCACTGTTCCCTGCCTGAAATGCCGGGGGCAGGCAACCAGGAGCAACTGACGAGGAGGAGGGATCGGGCCGGGGGTGCATGGGTGGTCCCCAGTATGGGCCCCTGTCCCTGGGGTTGGTCTCTCTGAACAGGGCCCCAGGCCCCAGCACAGTGGGATCTAGCTCTTTGTGCTGGAGCAGACAACACTAGGTCTTTGTTGTCGCAAACTGGGCAGGGTGACGGGAAAGCCCCGGCCTGGGGGTTTGTCCTTCCCACAGGGCTGGGGATGGGCCTGCAGCTTTGGGAGCAGGTGAGAAGCAGTTTTCTCTGTAGCCCCTGGGATCTCCTGGGAGAGAGACTCTGAGGTCCCCTTTTTTTGGCATCCGGGGTGAGGGAAGGAGACTGAGATGAAGAATTCATAGATCCTTTCTCCTGGCCTACATCCAGCTTGGAAATCCAGGGGCTGGGCTCCTTGCTCATCTCACCCTTTCTGTGGGTGAGGGTCTAACCCTGCCCTGCTCTGGGTTTCTCCTTCCCTATTCCATTTGTGGGAATGATGCATCAGCCACAAAGATGACTGAGGGGCAGCAGAAAGCAAAATGCAGGGGAAGCCCCGGGAGATGGACGCACACCTACTCCTTGGATGAGGGACAGGGACAAACGATGGACAAAGGGACCCTCTGTGCCTCCTTAGTTCCTGCTCCCCCTCATGCAAAGGAGGTGGAGACAAATCCTAAGCCTGTAATTGGCCGCCAAGAGATAGGAGAGCAACATGGTTCAATCGCCTTGGCTCCTGGAACATTCTTCTCTGTTAGCATTTCCTTGGTCTCTCTCTCTGTCTGTCTCTCATCCTCCCACCCCCAGCCACGATGCTTCAGAGGAGGAGGGATCTCTGTCAAGGCCTTCTTTCACCCCAGCCCCTTAGAGCTCTGCTCAGCAGTCCATGGCAGGGGTCTGAGGGCCATCTGTAAAGACCCCTGCTCTGTTCCTAAGTTCTTTCCTTGAAGCTGGATTCCCAATGGCCCAGGTGGCTTCATGGGCCACAGCTTCTTTCAGCCTTTCTCTCTGGGAGACGATGGCAGCAGGAGGGAGGACGCTGGCGGCTTGATTTCCTCTTCTGTCCAGGCCTCAGGCCCTCCTCCCAAGCCCCCCTTGCCCCTTCCCCGTTGGAATCTTGGGTGGTTGTCTAGCTTCACACCACATCAGAGGGCAGCAGGAATGCCGCAGGGGGTGGTCAGCCAAGAGGGCAGTTTGCCAAGGGCATTTTATTCCTGGTCTGCAGTGGAGTACTCCAGAGCTGAGGAGGCCACGCCCTTCCTCCCCCACCTGCTTGCGTCTGGGGGAAATGGAGGCAGAAGGGAGCGCCTGCTCGGGATGGAGCTCCCAGGGTCACAGAAATCAGGATGGGAGAGAAGAGCATGGAGGGGCAGCAGAGGCACTGAGAGCTTAACTTGGATAAGGGACATGGGCCCCAGAGAAGAAAGGACTTGCCCTGAGACTCAGGAACAAACAACTCCTGACCCGCCCCCTCCTAGACTCTTAACACCCCTCAGTAGGCCCGTCTGCGGGCCTTCACATGATGGAAACCTTATTCTCTCAAAAAAAGTCTAGATTAAGATTGTCTCCTTAATCTGATTAGCAATTTGGTGGGAGGGGACGGGGCATCCATCTCAGTTTTACTCATCCCCATTTATGCTCCTTCCCTGCAATGGCCTCCAATCCCCTTGGGTCCAACACCAGCCCTTCAGATCCTCCTGCAGTTTAAACCTGTCTCCAGCCAGGGAAGGTGCAAAGCCAGAAAGGAGGTAGACAAGAGGAGGGAGAGGGTTTGGGGGAACCCCCCACCTGACATCTTCCTCCCCAGTTAAGGAGGATCCAAGGGCCACACTGCTTTGAAGTTCTCCAGATTGGGGGACACAGGGCTTTCCTCCCCAGTTTTGGGTCCGTGCATCTCCGAGGAGAAGCCCTCCCTGGGATCCAGGTGCCCCTTTGACCCCATCGTGGGATCGGACTTTACCTCCGGCCTCAGGGACAAGAGCCGGAGCCCCTCACCAGCCTCCTGTCCCAGCTCGGTCAACAGGGGAATCCCCGGAAAGTGGCGGGCCGCTGAGGGGCACGCGGGTCCTGGGAGCAGAGGTTCTGGCTTGGAGGACCCTGGGAACTGCTGCTCTGCGGGGAGACGGGGCAGGAAGGGCCCTGGGAGGCGTGGCCAGTCGGAGGGGAGAAGGGATGGGGCGGGAGGGGGGAAGGAGGCGTAACTGGGCAGCTCGTCTCGGAGGCTCCCCAAATGGCAGCAAGGGCTCAGCCGGCAGGGGGCTGGGGCAGGGACAAGGCCTAGAGGGAGAGAGAGGGAGAGACAGAGAGAGGGAGAGAAAGAGAGGGAGAGTTAGGCGAGTGCCACAGCTCGGACACGCCCCCTTTCTCCGCCCATTTTTCCATTGCTTTTTCCCGTTGCCACCTGCCCTGTGCACTTCCCTTTTTTGTCATGTAAATATCATTTCCCGGGGCGGGGGTGGGGGTGGGGGAACCTCCCGAGAACCAACACTACCTGCCCACGTCCAGCCTAGGTGGGAGCCCGGGCTGCCCCGTCATGGCTCCTGTACCTCTCCTGCAGGGCCATTCCCTCAGTTAGAATCAGGTAGTCATTTGTGTGACTGCTTACTCTCTGTGTTCCCAACTCTGTGGGGCCTGGAGCTGTGTCTGTTTTATTCTCCCCTGGATCCAGCTCAGCTTGGCACATTGTAAGAGCTCAGTAAAAATGGGCGGAGTGAATGAGTGAATGAAGATATTTTTTGCCCTAACCCAACCATCGCTTCTTCGCTCTCTGTGCCTGCAGCAAAGGGCTCTAGCTCTAGCTGGGCAAAGAACTGGTTGTGTGGCTCTGGGTTTGTCACTTAAATTCGCAGACCTCAGCTTCTTCATCCATAAAATCCCCTCACAGAGCTAAGATCAAGCGACATCTTCTGTAAGAAGGAGGCTGCAGAGCCGTGAGGCCCCATGCACGTGGGGTGAGCCCCTGCTTTGTCCTTCAGCTGGTTCTGGCCAATAGCCCTCCTCCTTCGAGAAGCCTTCCCTCCTTCCATGTTTTCCAAATCTGCCCTCTTTCCTCCACCCACCCTGCCAGGATCCTACAATAGGGGCTCCCAGCCTGGGGTCTCTGGGGGTGATCACACAGCACTTCACACCACGTTCTGTATTTCTAAAAGCCTGATTCCAGCTCCGCATTTTTCTTAGCAAGGCCACATCATTCAACTAAAAGAGCAGCTGTCAACCCAACATGATCACATCGGCGGGCCTGTAATTAATAAAAACTGGAAAAACAAATGGGTTTTTACTTTAATACATCCGATTTATTTGATAGAAACAGTATTTCTGAAGTCAGCTCTATGAAGGGGAAAATAGTAAGAATGATGCTCCATGAGGAAGAGCGTGAGACTCCTGCTGGGAGGTACCCTTTCCTGGGTCACTGTCCCTTTCCTTGGGTCCTCAGATGAGGTGGAGATTGCTGTGCCAGGAAGGTTGTGTCCCGGGAGGGGTGGGGGAGCTCCTGAGGTCGGGGCAGTGTCTCCTCTTGGAGACACACAGCTGAGTAGACATGAGGAGATAGTTCTAGAATCCTCCTACCTCTCTCCCACCCCTTCTCAGCACCAGCCCTGCAGCTCGCAGCCTCTGGTTCGATAGTCCTGACCACTCTTCTGCTCCGAAGCAGCTTCTTTTCTTGACACCAATGCTCTGAATGAAGGTGGAGTGAGGGCCTGGCACCGCCTTCTGGAATCCCAATCCAGAAGTGGGGCATGTGGCTGCTACTAGCCTTCTGGTGACCTAAACCTGCTTAGCATGCTGTGCCTCAGGGCCCAAGCACAGGCAGGGCATGTGTGTGTACCCAAGAGGGCAGGGAGGTGCAAAATAGCCCACTCCAAGTTGGAGCTCGCCAGGGACACTTTTTTTCCCTCGTGGTTTCCCAAAGAGAGAAGCTATGTGCCCAAGGCATTCCCAGAGCTGGGAAGGGGTGGGTGGGGTGGAAGAACAGGGATGGCTGTTCAGGTGCTGTTTGGACCCAGGCTGCCCGACTGGTGGCTGTGCGAGTCCCAGCTGGCCCTGGGCCGCCCCACACCCACAGCTTCGGCTGCACTCACGGGGCCCAGTGCCAGGCACCTTGTGTTCTCTGGGAGGTGGGACCGCTGGGCCCCCAACTACACTGGGGGTGGGGCTAAAACGGAGGGTCCTTATTCTCTGGAATTGCCTGGAGGGGAGAGTAGGTCTTGGGCCTCTGCATAAGAGCCTTGTGTTGGTGTAGTGTCTCTGTGATCTTTTTCACAGAAACTCTGATGTTGTCACTTCACAGCTCACAGCCCAGGAAGAGCTGGCTTCTGCCTACGTTTCCACCTTCTCCCTCTCAATCACCATGTACTGCCACACTGGCCTTTTCCCAGTTCCTGTTTCCTGTCCCAGGACCTTTGTACATGCTGTTCTCTCTGCTTTCCTTGCTCTCCTCTCTCCCTCTGAGCTAAGCTGATACCTATTTTAGGTCTTAGCTTAAATGTCACTTTGTTAAGGGATCCTTCCTGGGTGCTGTCTGCATGCTGAACTCTGTCGCAGTTAGCACAGTTACAATTGCATATCTCATTATTAACTGAATGTCTACAGACCCCCTCTTGCCTATAAGCTCCATAAAGGCAGTCTTGCTCACGTGGGCGTCCCCAGCCCTAGGATGGTGCCTGGCACACTAAACAGGAGGTCATTAACTATCTGTTGGAAGAAGGAATGAGTGAGTGACTGAACTGTGTCTCCCCAACCCCTCTTCCGTTGGGCCTCATCCACCCCATGGTCCTTGCCCTGGTTCTGGCCCCATCATCTGCCACCTGGATTATCTTCTAAAGCCTCCCAACGCAGTCCTACGCCTCCTCCAACACAACCTCTGCATACCACCCAGGCCATCTTTATAAAATGGACATTGGAGCGTGCCTCTCCCTCCTGGGGCCCTCCTGCCCACGGTAAAGTCCAGCCCCCTCCTCATGGCTTCCACAGCCCTCCCTGACTGGGCGCCTGTTTGCCCTGCCAGCCTCATCTCTCACCCCCACCTTGTCCCCACTCCCATCCCATAACTGCCTCTCTGACCACGGCAAGCACCAGATCTTCAGATTCGCTACACTCGCCCACAGCCTTTTGCTTTACAAACGCTGTTCCCTCTGCCCAGGCGCCTCTCTCCACCTGCTTCACCTGCTCAGGTGCAGCCTCCTCCGGGAAGCTCCAACTCCTCTGCTTTCCCAGAGCACCTGGTGCCTCCCTGCATCTCAGCGCCCGTCACCGGCCATCCTCGCATCTCTGCCCCCTACTATTCTCTCAGCATCCTGAGGGCCATCTTTCATCTCTGAACCTCCACACCTAGTAAATAGCTGGTGCTTAATAAATGTGTGTTAAATGAATGAATGACTTGCATTATCTCTTGTCTCGTGGCTCCCTACGCGTGTGCTCAGCTTAAGATTCTCTGGGCCCTCCCCGGTCCCAAGTACTCACGGTGGACAAGGCTGCTGCTCCCCTTCTTGTCCCCAGACGCCTCTGGTGGCCCTCCAGGGGTCCGCTGTCCAGCCAGCTGCTCCACCATGGCCCGATGGGTGAAGAGCATGCTGTGCAAGAGCTGGGGAGTGAGGAGAAGGAGGTGTGTGTGTGGGGCGAACGGGCTCTCCTTGGCATATATTTCCCAGTACATGCTGTTTTAACAACCACTTGCTAAAACAATGAAATGCCATCGCCCCTCCCCTGAGACCCCCAGCCCCTGCCCTGTGACCCACCACTAAAGGAGGGATGCCCAGCACAGGAATCACCCTCTCTCACGGCCAGTGCTGTCCCACGTGGTCTGTTAAACGTGTGGGTGCTTTAGTGCCAGGGGGTGGGGGGCACTCAGTGACTAGGATGCAGGGAGAGGAGAACAGTGGAGGCTGACAGGCCCCGAGGCAGGGAGGAGGGCTGGGGGCCTCCTGGGCAGAGGGGCAGGGCTTAGTGGAGCCCTGGGGACAGGGGCTGCCTTCATGCCTACCTCACTCTGCACGCCCATGGGCACCAGGGCTGGCCGAAACAGGGCAGGGGTCCCCAGCAGCAAGTGGGGGGATGGCGGAGCCCACACCTCCCACAGAGGATAGTTGACTACGATGAGCTTGCTGAAGTTGAACTTGTAAGTGAACCTTTTGCCTTTGGTCTTGTGCAGGATCCTCTTATTGTAGTAATACCTGGAGATTCCGAGGTTGAGAATAGAGAGTTGGCCCAGTGGACAGGGAAAGCCATCAGAGACCCAGCCATGCCCCTTCCCCAGGCCAGCAAGGCTGACCCACCCTGTTCTGGAGAATGACTCGGTGGCATGCTACACGCTCATCATTTCCCAAGCCTTGAAGTGGTAGGAATTGGACATCAGACCGGAGTGTCAGAAACCACAGCCCTTTTCTTTGAACTCTGCCCTCTCTGACCATGTCAGCTGCCTCCTCTCACCTGAGGGCCCGGCTCAGCTTGTCATAATTCATCTGTGGCTTGCATTTCCTGCGGCCCCAGAGGCGGGCCACCTCGTCTGGATCCTTGATAACAAATTCCCCGTACTCTCCCTGCTGCCAGGCGATGACATGGCGGAACTCTTCCTTCTGCAGCAGCTCCAGGATGAAGTGCCACAGCTGGATCTGCCGGGAGCCCGGGGATGACTCGGCTTTGTAGGCCCAGTCAGGGAAAGCCAAGCCTGGGGTGGGCAGAGAGGGAAGTGTGAGTGCCAAGTGCGCAGTGCCACGCTCCTGAGCACCCCCCTCCCAACCTCCCCCCCCCCCCCCCCCCCCCCCCCCCCCCCCCCCCCCGCCCCGCCGCCGGGGCCACTGCTGAAGCCTGGGTGGGAGACCTGGCAGAGGCTCACCTGAGATCCAGGAGTTGCCAGCGATGGCTGGGATGCCCTCGGCCAAACAGCTGCAGTGCATGGTCCACTTTGGGGGAGCGATGGCCGTGTCTGCGCCTTGCGGGGAAGATGGTCACCGCTTAGGAGGAAAGGGAAAGAAGAAGGCAGGGGAGAGGGAGGGAAGAGACCAGGAGAGAAGAGGAAGACTGAGGCAGGGGAGTGGGGTCCGAGGCAGGAATCTCCCCCACACCCAGGCAGGGCCCAGCCTCCTGGGAGGGGAGCTCCCCACTGGCCAGGGGCTGACCTGACTCTGGGATCTGGGCTGAGCCACTTAAATAGATGGGGAGGAATGCAAAGGGTCCCACATCCTGCCCCTGCTGGGGGATTTAGACAGAGAATGAGATCTCTTCTCAGGGCTTAACAGGATTGGAGTTTTTCCCAAGAGAAGACAAGAGAAAATGTAATTAATCGTTGGTGCTTTCTAAACCTTCATGGGGAGGAGTGGCAGATGCACAAACCCATACCTCTATAGCACTTAGAGCAATCTTACAACTGAGAAGAGCAGGAATTTTGTGTGTTTTTTCACCGATGATGAGTCCCAAGTGCCTAGCAGAGTGCCTGGTACATCATGGGTGTCCAAGAAATGACTGTGGACGGAATCAATGAATGGTAAAGAATGTATCGAAGGTGTCGTTACATGCTTAATATCTGTCTTCTGCTCAGTGTCAGCCCCACAGGGTCAGGAACCCAGGCTGGCTTCACTGCTGCCTTCCCAGATCCCTTCCTTACAGGGCCTTGTCCTCACAGGTGCTCTGCAAACATTTGGAGATTTAATGAATCATGGGCAAGGAAGACAGAATCTTGCTGGTTCCTAATTTGGCTTTGGGGAGGGGTGGCGAGATGGGGAGAAAGCTGGGGAGTGAGCCCCAGTGAGGTAAACTTGCCTGCTGCAGGCAGAGCAAGGAGAGAACTAAGTCCCACAGCCTTGGGGATGCAACTGAGGTTGATGCAAAAGGCTGGCTTCCGTTGTCACCAGTGGAAGATGAAACAGTAGGCAAGAGGACTGAAGAGGGATGGGAGAGGGACTGGACTGCAGGATGCGGGCCAACTCCCGGGGGGTGGGCCGGGCACAGGGGAGTTACCTGGGTGTCCAGGACCACATGTAAACAGGGGGCCGGCTTACACAACCAGGACTCTGGGTTTCCATCTGATGTGGTTGGCATGAGGCAGCTAGAACTTATTAGGCTGTCAGGTCTGGAGGGACCGTGAGGGTTTGTCTGGAGTAGCCTCCTCGCTTTCCAGATGAGGCGCAGAGAGGGAAATCGACTTAACACATGGCGTTCAGCCGCCATACCCCCCACTCCTAATCCATAGCACCTTCTCATAGACTATGTTGCCTTAAGACGCAAAACATCATCTGTAGCGGTGCCTCTCATACTCTAATGTGTGTAAGAATTGCCTGAGGATCTCTTTAAAATGCAGATTTTGGTTCAGTGGGACTTGGTGGAACCTGAGGTTCTGTATGTCTAGCAGCCTCTAGGTGATGCCACCGCTGCTGGTCCATGGACCGTACTTTGAGTAGGGATCCAGCAAAAAAGCTCTGGGTGTCAAAGAATCCCAGACACCACAGGATGTGAGACCCTCCCTGCCCTCCCCACCTCCACCCCGAGAGGACATTGGGTCTCTTGTTCTCCCTTTGCAGGGGAACGGGGGCTCCAGGGGGGTCAACTGAGGAACCCACAGCCTGTCGGGGACAGGTGCTTCTGGCGGTACCCAGTCTGGCCTGACCAGAGAGCATCTCTGGGAATTCAGGTACACAGGTGGTGAGTAGGTCCACGCCTGCTCTGTGTCTGGATCACCAGGTTTTCCCACCCATCCCTGTGTCTACCCTGACAGCTGACATTCTGGAATCCTCTTCTCTCCTTCCTTTCTTCTCCTGAAGCAGATGCCCCCACTCCTCTCCTACCTGCCTTTCCTGCCGTGTTCATTGGGAGGTTCCCCCTTTGTCTGACCTCAGGCTGGGATCTCTCCTACCTGACCTTAGGAAAATTGGTGGGAAAATGGGGGTAGGGAGTGACAGGTTCCCAGGGAAGCTGATAGAATTCCTATATCTGGCTCTGGTGCCTGCTGGATCTGATGATGTTTCCCAGTCTGGAGTGTTTGAGACCTTGGGGTAGACTCAGGATCTGGCAAGAAGAGAATGATAGACCCACCACGGAGCAGATGTTCAGTGCGCCCTGCACTGTGCTGAGGAACTGACATACCCTGAACCTCACATGAAGTATCAGAGGAGATGAGGCTCAGAGGGGTTGAGTAACTTCTCTAAGATCGTACAGCTCTAAAGCGAAAGAGTGGAAATCAAGACCTCACTTCAAGATTTATAATATTTAGCCACCTACGTAGGCTACCAACACCCTCTCTCCTGCCCCCAAAAGAAAAAAACCTCAAAATACAAAGCCAAAATGAGTCAAGCCTTCTGGGTTCCCTGAAAGCCGTGGCCCGCTCCCTGGCCTCTCCCGTGTTTGTGAGAGGCCCTCCCAGATCCTCAGGTCTCTGAAGGGCTTGCCAGTTCTGGATGTGGAAACCCTCACTGCTGGTAAGTCCTGATGGACATCTCCCCGCAAGTCCTTCCTCTTCTGCTGGAGCCCCGCACTGATGTGGGGAACGCTCAGAGAGGAGCAGGTTTTAGTTCTACCTGCACGTCCGAGAATTGCTCTTGCTGTTAACCTTAATTCCTTGGGTTTCATTTTAACCCACACTCTGGTGGTGATGCTCCCGAGGCTGGAGGAGGTGGCCCCACTCTGTACCACCTCCCCTGCCCCGCCCCCCGCCGGCCCCCAGGCCCCGGCTCCCTCCGGGGAGTGCAATGGCCTAAGAGAACGAGTAGTGAGAACCATAAATCAAAAAGGATCATAACCGAATCTTGAATGATCAGAGTGGCTGTGCTTAAGTGCTTTGTGTTCCTTGAAGGGTTATAGCACGAGCAATTATCGTCATCATCATCACCATCGTTCTGATTACTAATAATGTGATTAATCCCCTTGGCCAACATAAGTGCTCATTACAACACATACAGGTTTTAGGTTGCTATTTAACAAAAACAATATAGATAACAATGATCACAATAGAGAGTAAGCCATAAAACCAGGGCTTGGAGCCAACGGAAATATGTCCAAAGCAGATTTACCTTTGTACGAGGTTGGTGAATGTGAATCAGGTCCCTATCATGTACCCAGCATTGGGCTTCACTTTTTTTTTTTAATCTATTACTTCATTGAGTCTTCACATCAACCCTTCGCAGTGGGATTATTCTCTCCGTTTTGCAAGCCAAGGAAATTGAGGCTCAAAAGGTTAAGAGACTTGCATAAGATCCCTGGGCAAGTGGTGGAGCCGGATGGGAACAGGTCTGTTTGACTCCAGGCTCTGAGCTGTAATCAGTCAATCAGGGCCGAAGAGTTGGAGATGAAACCTTGGTGCAGAGGCCAGGCTGGCGGCAGACCGTGGGCCCTGAAGGTGGCACTCCGGTCTAAACCTAAGATGCAGGCTCTTTGCTAGAAAAATGATCCGCGGAGGCCCCAGGAAGCCAGAGGACAGACAGTCAGATATAGGCTAAGAGGAGCACAGAGAGAATGAGAAAGGCAGGAATCCAGAAAAAAAAAAAACAGTCGGAGAGTTTAAGACCAGTGCTGCATCTCTGCAAAGGGGAACCTTGTATCAAAAGTCACTTTGTTGTTGGGCCTTCTGAGCGGCTGAAGTGGATTGACGGCATAATCTGACTGCTTGGACACAATCCAGTCTTCTCAATGACTGCTTGATTGATTCAGTGGGAAGACGGGATTGTTTATAAATACAAAGGTGGCCAGAAGAGACAGCTAGAGAGTGGATCAGAGAGAGTGAGACAGAGAAATAGCCATATGGAATTCGGAAATCCGGCGTTGTGGACACAGGTGAGGTCCAGGAAGGGCCCTGGGGAGAAAGCCCAGAGGGGCGATGGTGGAAACACGGGGATGACAGTCTCCAGGGGGATACTTTACGCTTGTAGCACTGAGCAAACTGTGCAGCCCCCTTGCCAAATCCCCAATCTGATTAGAAGCCTCTGGTCTCTCCCCTTGATCTCAGCCCCAAGTGGAGAGCGGTTAGTCCTGAGACCTCCCTTAATGCTATTAGCTAAAGCTGCTTAGGTAGGAGAGCAAGACAGGCGGGGGGCTTGGGAAGGGCAAAGCCAACCACCTTTTTCCCTTGGGGAACTGGGGGAGGGTCAGGGCGTGGGTCCTTTCTTCAGTGAGACACGGAGACACAGACGCTGAGACCCCAGACCCCAGGGCATCTTGTCCCTCCTGCCACAGCTGCCAAACCAGAGAGCCTGTGCCTACGGCAGAGAGGATCCCTCCTTGATGCTCCAGGTAGAGAATCCGGTCAGCTGTGCTCCATCTGCCTCCTGCAGCCTCAGCCCTTCTGTTGGCCCACCCCTGGACAACAATCAGAGGCTGCTCCTCGCCTGCCGCTCCCTCAGCAGGGTCCAGCAGCACTGCCTGACTTCTCTCATACTCCACCTTCCTCCTCCCCAGCCCTGAGCCCCTCTCCAGGCTCCCTCTCACCTGCTCCCACTGCTCAGTGCTCTCAGCCTGTTGGGTCTCAGATCTCTGCCCACCCTTCCTCCCACCCCCACCCCTTGCAGATGTGCCTCCGACTCTTGTCTCTGTGGTCCTTGGGGGCCGTGGGATTTAAAGGGTTTGTGTAACTCTGTGGAGTAGAAATCCAAACCCAGACACCCTCCCCATGCCCCACCCCCAATCTGTCACGAAGGGCAGTCGAAAGTCATGGGGAAAGTCACATCCCTCCTCAGGGACCCAGGGGTTAGGGGAACCTGACACGAGGTGTCAGGAGAGCGCTTCCAGGCTGCACCCGCCCCTTTCTCTGTCTCCTTCAGGTCCCTGTTTCACTTTGACCTTTTAGTCTTCAGCTCATTTCCTCCTTCGAGACAGTGTCTCTCCTCTTCCCTGGCAGTCTAATTCTCCTTCCTTCTTTCCATTTCCCATCCGCCAGCCTTCTCTTGTCTTACTTCCCCACCACCGTTTACTTTCTTTTCTCTCTGTTCTCCGTCCTTTTCTGTCTCAGGGTGTCTCGTTCTCTCCATTCCCGTCTTTACGTCTTGGTCTCTCTCTGTCTTGCCTCCCTCATGCCCCTGTCCCTCCTCTGGAGTGTTGTCCCTGCCTCACCGCTTCTCGCCCAGCCTGCCTTCTGTCGCACTGTCTCTATCACTGTCTCATTTCACTTTCTGTTTTCTTGCCTTTCTTTCTGCCTTTCTCCCATTCCAGTCTCTCACCCGTGCTTCAGAGCTGGAAACTGAACCCAGGCCCCCAGCTTCCCGGCCCTGGCCTTCACAGCCCACCTCCTCACGCCCCTCCTTCCTTCCCAAAGCCCTCCCTCCTCACCCCTTGCCCCTCCCCCAGTGGCAACCTCAACGTTGTTTCCTTTTATCTCATTCCCATCAGCTGTGCCCCAGGGGATCCCCCTGCCTGGACACCCCCACTCCTTCCCTTGGTCCCCCCACCCAGGGACTAGAAATCCCCTCGAGAAGAGCAGGCGCTGAGGTGGCTGAGGAGCCAGGCCAGCCAGAGGAAGTGAAAGCTCTCGGCCAAATGCTGAGCTGGGGTGAGCCGGGGTGAGCTGGCAGCCAGAACGGGCCTGAGTAACAGGGGCCAGGAATGCAGCGGGAAGCAAGCCTCTGGGGCGCTCTCACCAGCTGGGGGCCTCTGACGCCTTCTGACTCAATCCCCAACCCTCAATCCCGTGTCTACTTCCAGCCTCAACCTCAACCCTTGCCTTCAACACCACTCTTAACATGAACCCTGACTTCAACTTCCACTGAGCCCGAAGCCCAGCCCGAGACTCCTTCCACCTGCCCTGATCCCTCTCCCCACCCGGCCCCCTTGCCCTTGAGTGGGACCAGGAGGGGGCTTGGAGGTGGAGTGGCAGTGGCCCCACTCTCTTCCTTAGCCCTCTCCTCTTGTCCATTGGGAAGGGGCTGGGGAGAGGAGCATCACCTCTCTGCGCCTCTGCAGCCTGACATAGCCTGCATCCGCCCCCAACAGCCCGGGGCTCTCCTGGTAAGGGGCACCCAAGCTCTCAGACTTCAGGCTTCTTGGACCTAGTTCTTTGGGAAGGCTGCTGGGAGTCTGAGGAAGGGATGGAGCAGAATCCCCTTACCCCATCAGAGATTTCAGTTCAATTCATCCCATCCTGGCTCAGAAGGGAGCACAACCTTACCTCTCCCCTCCTGAGACCCCCCTGCACATCCCCTGTTCCTTCCCATCCCCGTGCTGTGATGCCCACACCCTCAGTGTCAGTCCTCACCTACTGCCCTTCAACCTTGGCCACAGCGATGGCAGCAGTGAGCTCGCTGGGACACAGGACTCCCTAGGTGTACAGACAACAGGGCGTGGGGATGGCTGAGCCCTGCATCCGTTCAGCCCCCAGAGCCCCACTCAACCCCATTGATCCCAGGAGTCCTCTCTGCCCCAACGAGCCGACATCTGACCCCAGCCGTGCCCCATCTAGGGAGAAGAGCCTGCTGTCATGCTGGCCCTGATGTCTTTATGAGGTCCCCACC